CTGCGTCGCGGATTGGGGCCGGATTATGGCTTGCGACCCTTTTGTGTGAAAAGAAAGGGGGCGACTGCATTCATCCTCCCTTAGGGCATCATGCCCTATGCTCTTTTTTTATATTGCCTTTTTTATTTTTTTAATTTTATTATTTAAAAGTCTCAATTTACTCGTTATTGGTTCGTGCACAAAATCATATCAATATGGGTGTCCTCCCTAAGCAATGTCAATGTTCCATACACACTCATGCGGTCTTTCTTGTCATCTGAGGTCGCCTAGATAATTTTATTGACAATCAAGACAATTTGAGCCCAAACACGTCAGAGTGATTTTCGTCGACGTTTTAAGTCATAAGAACAAGTTTATTAGAGAATATGGTCCCATAACACCAAAAATGTGTCATACGCAAAAGACATAAAAAAGTTGATGTCAACTGTTATATCATAAGTAGCAATATTGTCATTTCAAGTTTGTTGCTCATCTTCAAAATTGCATCAACATACAAATTTTTTTTCGATGAAGTTGTGAAACAACTCAAAGTAATTGATTAGTTTCAGCTTTTATTTTATCTTTGTTAATACTGCATTTTATTATAAAACTAAGGTTTTATGTTTCATCGGAAGCATATTAATTTTGTTAATTCCCAGTAGATTTGGTCGGTCTAATTCAAGTACCGCAACAAAGTTTAGAGTTGGTATGTACCTGACATGTTATGTTTAAATTCTAAATAAATCTTTTTACTATTGAAACTAACAAACTATATTTTGTATATATCTGACAACTTTAGCTAACTTGAAGTGTGAATCTGGTCTAGTTTCTTAACCTTTAAAAAAGTTAAAAAAAAAAAAAAATTGAAGCTAAAGCTAAAATTAATTATCTAATTGGTAAAAATAAAAAAATAATAAAAAATAATAAGAATGGTAAAATCAAAATTTAATAAGGGCGACGAAATAGAAAATCAAAGGGTAGCGGGTATTTAATTTTAAAATTTTTATCTTTTTAATTTCTTAAAAATGACTATAAAAATGTTTATAACAATAACAAGCCATTATCTCACTAAGTGGGGCCTGCTACATGAATCCTTTTCCTCTATTATGTCTTGTTGAGTGTCTTATTTTTATTTAATTCTAATAAATTAATATCATTTTTATTCAACATGTCCAAGTCTTTCACCACCTTTCTTAACATAAGACAAATCTAAAACATCTTCTCTCTTAATTGAGTCATTATTTGATCGATGTTTAATGCGACCAGATCATCTAAGGTTTTTCTCTAATCTTGTCTGCCACTAGAGCTGCTCCAACCCTTTCACGAATATATTCATTACACATTTTGTCTAATTGTAAAACCACTCATCCATCTGAGCATTCTTACCTGAACAATGCTTAACTTCTCTTTTACAGGCCGAAATTCTGCGTCATAAAATATTATAGGTCTCACCACCATCTTATAATTTTTTTTCTTTTTGTTTGAGCGGTATTTTTCTATCACACAATAGACTCGATACATTTCTCCACTTCAACCATCCAACTTGAATTCAATTAATAGCATCGCCATCTATATCACCATCACTTTGAACAATAATCCCGAGATATCTAAACGTTCACTCCTTTTAGTGGCGATCATTTATAGTTATAACCCCGCCACTAGATCTATTACTACTAAAATTACATTCCATGTTATTCAATTATTAGATCTACTCAAACAAAAGCCTTTAGACTCTAAGGTTGGCCTCTATAATTTAAGCTTATGTTTTTAACTCTCTAGTCTTATTCACAAGAAGGATATCATTAACGAAAAACATACACCGGTACATCCTCCTGTAAATGTCCAGTAAGAACGTCTAGTAAGAACATCCACAACTAAAACAAAAGTATGTGGGTTTAAAGCCGATCCCTGATGCAATCCAACTGAAATAAGAAAATACATAATCAATTATTCTTGTGTTCGAACACAAGTAATGACTCTACTATTCATATCTTTAATGACTTGAATATAATCAATATCAACACCTTTCTTTTCTAGAACTGTTCAAATTACTTCTCTTGGAACCTTATAATAAGCTTTGTCTAAATCAACAAAAATATAAGTTCATCTTCCTCATTCTCTTTATACTTTTCTATCAAACCTCTTAATAAATATATATTTTTCATAGTAGACATGCCTATCCTAAATTCATATTAGTTTTGAGAAATTTTTGTATTACGTCGTAATTTATGTTCAATTACTCTCTCCCGTAACTTTAATATGTGACGCATTAACTTAATTCTTATATAATTTGTGCACTCTTATGCATCATCTTTGTTCTTAAGTATAAGAACAAATATACTCTTTTTTATACTCATTATACTTCTTTTTAGTTTTTAAAATAAAATTAAAAAGTTTAGTAAGGCAAAAACCTTCACATCTTTTAAATATTTTCACACTTTTATTGGAATACCATAAGGTCCTACTGTTTTCCATACTTCATTTTCTTTAAAGACTTTTTAACTTTTATTTTATTAATATGGCTGTAGAAATTAAGAACATGTTATTATTTATGATATTAAAATTACTAAAGTCGATTTTATTTTCTCAATTTTCATCTCACGATTTATGTTGAATATCTTCATAAAAGAAAATAAATTTTGATTTTCATGCTTAATATATTTTTCATGAACTAAATTTATACTTTTCTTATTTCCTTGTTTAACTAATTTTCACATATATATTTCACCTTCTTTAATATCTACTATGTTATAAATATCACTAGAACTAGAATTCCCAACATCACAAATTGTTCTCTTACAGATCCTATGGGTTGCCCTATTTTGTTTCAATTCTCACATTTAAACTAATTTTTATAATAATATTTTATTTTTGATCTTTTATGGCAAATTATTAATCCACTACTAACTATTTTTATTTTTAAAAATTTTTCCATTTGATTCTCCAAGCACATATTTTATAATATTTTTCATAGTACTCATTATTTTATCTCGCATATTATTAATATTTTCATAAACATCTCAAATCTTAAGATCTTGATGCTTACTTATAAAAATAATTTTATTTGTATTTTGAGTGCGCTCATCTAATTTTATGACAATATTTCTTTAAATTTTTATTTTATAGTCTTTTATTAAAAAATTTAAATCTAATAATCGATGTTGGGTACTTAAATTTTAACTTAAAATGGCTTTATAATCTTTACAATCTCTACAATCTATCTCTCATAAAAAAATAATTAATTTATGTTTTCTTGGTTTGATTGTTATAAATGATAATATGTTCTTCTATTTTATTAAATAAAATATTAGCAATGATAAAATTATAAGCTAAAAAAAAATCCACTATGGTTCTACCTTATTCAGTAGTCTGTCCAAAACTTTAACCAGCATGAATTTTCTTTAAAAGCTTCTCTCACTCTGTCGACATGTCTATTTAAATCTTCTTCAATGAAAATTCTTTCTTCAAAATGTCTAATTTATATTAATAATTCTAGTTTATTTTAAAAATTTTCTTTTAGACACATCCAAGCATACTCAGGGGACTCAAAAATTTATAATATTAAGAATCTTAGTGCCAACAAAAATCTTTAAAGCTATAATTCTATCTCTATTTTTATTAATTTTTATGACATTATTTTTTCTAACTCTTATCTATAATTATTCGATACTATTTCAAATATGACTCTTACCTCACTATAAATGTTTAAAGCCTTAAGCTATTAATCTCCTTAGCATTTTTTTCCAACTCATTTATTTTCTTGAATGCATGAGATATTTATTTTTCTAAGAGCCATAATATTTACTAATTTCTTTAATTTACCTTTGAGAGTACACATGTTTCTAGTTTTCGTCTTAATATTAGTTTCAACTAACTTTTTTCTCTGTATCGTCCTTTTTTCTCTGCATCGTCCATAATGTGAAAATTTTTGCTTATTTAAAACTACACCGGCACACAGATGCAAGGACCTCTGCTTACTTTTTACTGCATTCAATTCATACAATGCATCATTTTTAGGGACACCCTTGATTTAAATACAAAAATTTTTCTATGGCTGTCGACTACCTAACAACAACCATCCACCTTTCGCATCTAGGATTCGGGACCCAACAATGATAGTGTTCTTGTTATAATTATAACTATTAAATTAAAATTTTAAATAATATTAAATTATTAATAAATATCTAAGTTTGATGGGCAAAATTTTAATACATTATGTGATATTAAATAATCTTGTAAAAGCTTGTGTGTGATGAATGCCACCCTCAGCCACCTTTTGGTTCTAATTTTAACTATACAAACATGTTTTGATTTCTTGAAACAGTAACAAAAAAAAAAAAAAGGAAAAAAAGAAAAAAAAGCCATGCAAGAGCTAAGTTGTCAAAGCCAATTATTCTATGACAAAATTAAAAGAAAATCAAAAGATTCAAAGCTATAATTTGAAAGCATGGTGGAAATATTTGTGAATCATCCTGATTTATTAGCTGTCTAAAGTTCAGACTTAAAATAATATCATTGTGAACAAATATGCTGTAGAGAATTATTGGATTCTCTACATCCATATGATGCATAAGGCGTATTACTTCGGTTTTCTCATCAACTTTTATATAAGCATGGTGTTAGGTAAAGTTGTTACTGGACTAAAAATGTAAGCTAAAAAAATAAAAAATAATCTAGTAGTTCTATATTTATAAGTGCTTACTTTTTTTTCTTGAATTTATAAGCTTCGCAAGGGTTATGTCAAGCTACTGTTGTACAATTTAGTCCTCAGAGATAAAACATAGTTGTTATAAATGACCATAGTACTTTAGAATGTGCTATCCGCTACTTATTATTAATCTAATACCTTGTTTTCCTTCATATGTTCATAGCTACTGCAATTGATCAAGGGGAGGCACATGATTTCTATCTCGACAAGTTTCCAGAGGAAAATCCTTTATTTTGGTTTGTAACTTGGAGATGGGTGCTTAGCCTTGGTTTTGACCACATGTTTACATCCCCTATTTTCTTAGGCATGTTGGCTCTTCTCGCAGCATCACTCATGTCTTGCACGTACACTACTCAGATCCCTATTGTTAAAGTTGCTAGAAGGTTTGTTACCTCTGGAGTGGCTTGAACATTCCATTCATTAAATTTATTTATTTATTTTTTAAACTTAAACTTTATATGCTGGCAGATGGTCTTTCATCCACTCTGCTGAGGCTATTAATAAACAAGAGTTTTGTGATTCTCTTCCACATGCATCCATTCAAGATCTGGGTGTTATTTTGATGGGTGCTGGATATGAGGTAAATGAATATGCAATAAGATCATTTCAATTCCTAGTGTAAACATTTGATGCAATGTGCCCTTCTATCTTAGATAAAGCGACTCGTCTCTTTTTTTTTATGAGGCTGTTTATGTCTTACATTGAGAAAAGTAGATACTTTTTAGTATGACCGTTTACTTTAGACTTGCGCTAGATATAGGTGCACAAGATATTCTGTTTATATATAAAACTTGAGTCTTTATTTGTGGAATGTTTGTAGTCTATTGTATTTCCTTACGCGGGAACGTGGTTCATTCAACTTTGGTTTCAATATTTTTCTTTAGTTTGGTCTTGGCATAACAAAACATATTTGCTGAATAATTCCTAGCCCATGGAGATTGTCAGCAAAAACCGTGCAAATTGTGACATAACTTTCTCAAAAAAATATTTTTTCATGTCCAATATGCGGTTCAATTTTATTACGTGTCCGTAAATTGGCCACAACGTCAAATGTGGCCATTGTGTGTATATTTGAGCGTACATGAACTTTTAATATTAGATGGTGCTAATCATTTGGGACTGTCTGACAGTTATAGTTGATCATTTCTGCTCATTAACCATTCTGTTTGTCTCAAATAAATCTATGCGGAAAATATCTTCTTCTATAGATATAACCATGTTCTATATATTTGAGATTGATAATTTACCTTTTTATTGGTTTTTCTTGACAAGTGAGATATTTTATGGAGTCTACCTGGTTATATTTCTTCCCCTTTGCACCAGTATGGTACCCAATTATAACATCCTTAGGAATAAAAATATGGCATCCAATTGAGATTCCCTTACAATATAGAAGTTTTCTTATCTTGTGTTCGGTAAAACATACATTGTAAACTCACATTTAAAACTATTTGGTGATTTTATGTAGAGATAAAATAAATAATCAATAAATTCAGATTTTTAATGATTTATGAAAACTCTTTGAATGTATTTAAGAACAACAATTTCATATGATATTTTTTCATATAGCATGCTTCTAACTGTTGACACACCTGGACAAATAAGTGAACCTTTAGTGAAATGGAGAAAGTGTTTAAAAGGTAGATGGCTAAGAATTAGCTAAACAAAGACTTGTTCTGTAATATTAGTAGTGTTATATCGGCAGTTATCAGTCAACTTTGTTTGACGATAAAGTGATTTGTAAGTTTGATAGTTTTAGATATCGTGAATAAACTCCTATTCTATAAAATATTTATGCATATATAGATATTAACTTTTCCATTTTTTTTTTCTAAAAATAGTATGAAAAACAAATATAATTATGTTTGTTGTGCATTTTCTAATTTCAATTCATTCAAGCTAGTCTAGTTGAGCTGGGGGATGTTGAGTAAACCCAGTTCGACTCATAACTAAAATTTTGAATGATTCAATTTGGAGCAAGACTGAACTAGAAAATTTTGAATTTGAGCCAAGTCTAATTTGCTCAAGCTTGACTCATTTCCATCCTTACTGTTGGTTATCTTGATATATTTTACACGTTTTGAGATATGCATGCACACTAAACACATGGGAGAGAGCTGGTTGGTGAAAAGAAGGAATGGAAAGGGAGATTGTTGACTATGAAAGTGTTCCTGAGCTTGACGGCTGATTATTCCCTTACAACATTTTAAGGTCTGGAGATTGGAAGCTAAGCAAGATACTGGGGCTTGCTAGGAGGATGCATTGATCAGAGTGCTCAATGGCTCAAAAATTGTGAGATAGAAGTACCATCATTTTGAATCTGATGGATTCATAGAAATTAATTTTCATTACAATCCAATTCATTATCTTACTGTTTTAGAATGAAGTCGGGCTTTGATATCAATTAGTATAGAGTAAATAGTGAAGATATGTGGAAGCCTTGATGAAGATGAGGAAGAAGGGGAGCAAATAAGGAATAAGAAGGAAGAGGAAAAACCTACAAGATATGACTGAATAACTATATGCTTTTGAAACTGAAACAATACAATATCGCACATAACAATTAATGTAACAGCAGATAAAGGCTAAATATGAAGCTAAATAGACAATACAATTTATTGATACTAAAAATGCTATATTATGAGACAAAATCCATGCTTGTCCTATATCGCTTTATAATTCTTTGAATTAACATAACAGCAGATAAAGGCTAAATATGATGCTAAATAGACAATACAATTTTATTGATACTAAAAATGCTATATTATGAGACAATCCATGCTTGTCCTATATCGCTTTATAATTCTTTTATAGACACTTTGTGTACCAAGAGGAGAAATCTAAACTGTTGAACTGTTTTTACTTGCTAGATTAAGCTATAAGATGTCAGCTTCTTCAGAATTTCCTTGCATTTCAACCCGATCACTTGGATTTATTTAACCTTCTAGTTTAGCTCTGGTATTGGATTGTTTTATTAAGACCATCATCATCATTGCTTTTAGTTTTTTAGGTGTTTTTGAAAGGCACAACATTGTATGCTTTCAAGGGAATGGCTGGTCGGTTTGCTCCCATCGGTGTACATTTGGCTATGTTATTGATTATGACAGGAGCAACACTTAGTGCTGCTGGAAGCTTTCGTGGCTCAGTGACTGTTCCTCAAGGGCTGAATTTTGTTATTGCAGATGTTATGTCTCCTGCTGGCTTTCTTTCAAGGCCAACACAAACTTTTAACACCGAAGTTCATGTCAATAAATTTTTTATGGATTACTATGAGAGCGGTGAAGTAAGCAATTCTTTATGTTATTTTCATGTTACTTCACTCCAGCTACAGTTTATTCTTAAACAGCCACCATGGGAATGCCATTTTCCTTTTCTCTAAAAAATTAACTGAACAAAAAGACTATTTATCTTTCAAGAGAATTAAATAATAGAAGGAACTAGACTACAGTTACCCTTTCTTTTATTAGACATGAATGTAGCATTGGTATAGGGTATTATGAAAGTGGTGGTGCATAACTTTTTTGAACTATTTTTGATGATACCGACATACTTATTAAATTTCCCTAAACTATTTCGAACTTACATTTACCATTTATTTAATTGCTGAATGGAATTGACTAATGTGTTTTATTGCCTGATTTTTCTTTGTTGGTATAGGTTTCTCAGTTTCACAGTGATATCTCATTGTTGGATGTTAATGGAAAGGTGCTCATGAGGAAAACTATAAGTGTGAATGATCCTCTAAGATATGGAGGGATTACAATCTACCAAACAGATTGGGGTTTCTCGGCCCTTCAAGTATTGAAGGATGGTGAAGGACCTTTCAATTTGGCTATGGCTCCATTGCAGAGAAATGGAGATAAGAAGCTTTACGGAACCTTCCTTCCAGTTGGAGATGCTAATTCTCCCAGTGTTAAGGGAATGTGAGTGTGCTATTTTTCCTTTTATGGTGTGTCATTTTAGATAAAGAACCTCTGGAATGCCTTCAGGTATTTGTAATCAAACACAATTTTGTGTAATCCTCAGATCAATGCTTGCTCGGGACCTACAGTCCATTGCTCTGTATGACCAGGAGGGAAATTTTGTGGGAGTTCGACGGCCTGGCTCAAAACTTCCAATTCATATTGATGGAATGAAAATTGTTATCGAAGATGCAATTGGTAGTACTGGTCTAGATCTGAAGGTAAGTAGTTCAAAACAAAGTATTTTAAATCCAAAACATACTATTTATGCTTTATTTGATTTATCTTAGATGGATCCGGGCGTGCCGACTGTTTATGTTGGATTTGGTGCTCTAATGCTTACAACTTGCATCAGCTATCTGTCTCATTTACAGGTGACGCACATACTCTGGTTTTGGGAATTAAATGATATGAACTTGTGGCACCCTGTTCATATAAATAAATTATATTGCCTTTGCAGATATGGGCCATACAGAATGGAACTACGGTTGTTGTTGGAGGTAAAACAAACCGATCAAAGGTTGAATTTTCTGAGCTGATGAATTGTTTACTTGATAAAGTACCAGAGCTGGTGGATGCTGTTGAGAAGAAGAATAATTGATAACGTGGTAACTGAGAATTTGCTGTTCTCTGCTTGTCAGTATAATCGGATGAATTATATGTTTTGAACTATTGTGAAAGAGTTCCGCCACAGATGAGCATTCCTTTTAATGCGGCTTCAATCAACTTTTGGATGGATATAAATTTTTTGAGATGACTGATCCATGTTTTCTTCAGTGATTTTCGGAATAATCCTGGAGCTTATTGCGTACATGAAGAATGAAGATACTTCTGTACAGTTGAATTGGTTCCGCCGTAAAATCAGATATTATGCATGCATGCATATTATAGTTATGTGGAAGTGACTTTTATTTAAATCAAATTTACAATTGTATACTTTGTACATCAGTTTTTCAAGATAAAAGAATGCATTTATTGTTGGAACCCAATTTCTTTCTTGAACTCACGCCGCTCACTTTCATGTGTTTTGGAATCGGGAGAGAAAAGGGAAATAAGAGTATTCTACAGATGGAAGCTGTGAGATTTTATTTATTGAAAGAATGAAGAGAATAAAATACTAGAATTGCATACCTCGAGTTGTGTAACTTGAATTCCAATTTTTATCTTTATATATGGATTTGGATTGCTATTCGATATGCTACATAAGCAGCTACATAAGCAGCTACATAAAAAGAATAAAATTTACATGCATACCATATCTAACACTAAATTTATTCAAGAAAATGTGTATCTTACTTTTAAAAGTTATTTTTATGTGATGCAATATGATATTTACTTTTATAACACACTCGTGTCATAAATTTATTCAAGAAAAGGTGTATCTTACTTTTAAAAGTTATTTTTATGTGATGTTAGAGATTTGAGTGGCATGTTCATACATATAAATGTTTAGGTGTTAGATGTGTAAATGCATAAAAATTACGTGGCATGCATGTAAATGCCCATAAAAGAAGATAATCTATAAATTGTGTAGCATGATTTGTAGCTTGTTAGGGGGTTTGATTGAGGAAGTTGTCTTTCAAATTGAGAAGTATAGCTTGATGAAGATCTAGTTGACAAGATGTTGAATTGACGAATACTTCGTATGAAGATTAGCGGAGTTGGGCAGCTGTTTGCACTTGATAGGATGAAGTTATCTGCATTGTGAGTAAAAGAACTTTAATTTGTGTTGATTTGGTGAAGTTTTAATGTGGGCCAATATAACCCGTGAGCTTATGTTGTTCTTAATTTGGTTTTTCATGTATTTCTTGGGAATAATGATTTATAAGCCAAGAGCTTCGGTTTAAACATTTGCTCTTACTTTTGTTTGTTCAAATTATATAATCCTATGCTTGACAAATATGTTTAGGTTCTAAAGGACATGACCAATGTCTCTCAGGATAATACAAGTACTGTTGAAACCAAAATTGTCTAGGAGACGCCTAATGTATAGAGCACAGAAAGAAGAGAAAGAGTGGGCAAGAATATAGCCTTGGCACAGGAAAAATGCATAACCTTATTCATGAAATTAGTCCCCTATTTATATGAATGAACACTAGTGGTTTACATTTGTACCTCTATAAAGTAATCACAGTAGAGGGGTATTCTGAACATTTTACATCACATAGGGATAGGGTCCTTATAATAGGCTCCCATCTTGCTAGTACACTGGGCGGTCTTGGGCAGGAGGGTTGTCCAACTTAGAGACTCCGGGCGGCCTTGGGAGGGGAGGGTTTTTCGGTTGAGAGTCGGTTCGAGTGGCGTTGGGCCAGAAGCTTGTTGGCTGAAAAATGGGCCGGCTAACCTTGTGATGATTGTTTCGCTCTAATCAGGTATTAAGTCAAACTTTACCGGTTGAATTATACCGGGTTGGTGAGGATGGATTTCCGAACGGTTTTATGTGGGTCCTATCTTGCCACATCAAACTCTTTGTTAACCTTTAGTTGTCTTCAAGATTCATGTTGGCACATTTTTGGGGTACATATTGAATTCCCCAATTCTTTTACTAGTTCATGGTAATAGCGACAAAGGAATCTGATTCTTAAAAATGTTAACCTTATTTATGACTGTTAAATAAGAAAAAATATTGCATAAGAACTCCTCAAGTAGAGTTACGTGCGAAGTCTAATGAAATCACGCTACGTGAATGTGACAGAAAAAAAAATCGACCCGGTAACATAGGGGAATATCCCCCCCCCCCGTTTTATTTTGTGTTATTCATGTGTTATTGTATATTATTCGCGTATTATTCTGTTCTGGGAATACTCCTGGTGTTATAATAACACAATAACACATCAATAACACTTGAATAACACATAATAACATATGAATAACACACAATAACACCTGAATAACACGGGAGGAATATTCCCTTATATTATCAGACAAATTTTCTTTTTCTGTCATCGCCACGTGGCGTGATTTCATTGGACTCCGCACCTAACTCTACGTGCGGATCCTAAGAGTCCTGAAGCATTTTTTTCTCGTTAAATATGCAATAATTGACCTTTCCTCGATTCCACACCAGGATCTTTATAAATAAGGAAATTTGTGAGGAAAGACTTGTCTTTCGCATGTTTCCCTAATCCTCCTCCGACTTCCTTTGTTGTTTGCGATCATGGAGAGTGGGTTCCCTCCAAAATTGGTCAAGTTTAATGACGACGCTTGAGCGATAGTGTTTCATGTGATGAAGCAGATGGCCAAGTTCGCTGGAAGCGATTCAATAAGCTTGTAGCGTTTGAGAAAAGTTGTGAGCCCACGAACGAGGTGAGGTCATCAGACATGCTTAATGGTCATCCTGTGAAAAAATCCATAATGAGAGAGGGTGGTTTCCCTATAAAGAAATGTCTCATGGTGGGAGCGATCCTCCCGGACAATAAGCATGTGGAATAGCTCCCCTCTGATTCTTCCTATGGTAACATAGGGACAAGGTCAGTAACCTACTTTTGCGTCGGATGCAATCACTCAAGGGGTCGTCACTGACAATTTCTAAATAGTTGTTTCTAGATCTTTTGTGCAGCTTCCGCTGGTGGAACCAAAGACTAGGAATGAGCTTGCTCATTTACCACGTATGATCTAAACAGATTGATGGGACCTTCCTTGAGCTAGGGATGAATGCTACGCCACCTTCATACTATGATGTTGTTCGGGCCAGTGTTGCAGTGAATGAGGCATCAACTGAAAGTTTCTAGACATTCTAAGGGGCTAGTGAGGGATAACTCAACATGTCCAGTGGTTGACCCTCCAGGAGTGATTGGCGTTTCAGAGGAGTCTGAGTCAACTGAGCTTCAGCTTTACGAGGCTGAAGATCTACTGACCTTAGAGACTGATCTCCCTCAGTTTTGGGATGTACGGCTGAAGATGTTGGAGGAAGAATTAGTGGCAGTTTGGACTAGGGAAGTTATTATTTAAGACCAGCTAACATCGCTTCAGGTTGATTTGTCAACCATACAGGAGGAAGTTTTAATCTCCGGTTTTATTCTAAAATAAATTGGGCAGACTAAGTTAGTATAGGAGGATAAATGATATATATATA